AAGGGAAAGAATGCATAAAGTAACCTATTGGTAGAGTAACAAGTTCAAGTTTCAGCAAAGGGAAAGGATGCATATGAGCATTGACATAAGTCGAGGTCGTAGAGCGTCTACAAATTTACTTGTACGAAATAGGCTGCAAAGAAGTATGTCAAGAAAGACATACGGACATATGTGGAAAATCTCTAAGAGAAATGGGAATTGCGAGGGAAAGAGGGACTGGTTTGCAAGAAGGAGAGCCTACAAAAGGTATGCACTTCCGCTATAAACAGCAAGCATGTGAAGCATGGAAGACGTTACGTAGGCCACTAAAGATGACTGAAAGATGAGGGATGACGATTTTTCGTTACTATCAGACTGAAACAGCCATATCCCTAACTATCCCTGTGAAAGGAATGGAGCCCACACAACCGTACGTTGGTGGAGAAATGTAGGGAAAGAACTAGAGCTTTATGCGATTCTCTTGGATATGGAGGGAACTTTCAATAAGGATCATATAGCTCATATGGTTGGCGCTGGCACACAGCATAATGCACTAAATAATCAAGACCACTTCACATAAAGATAGGCATACGTCAGCAATTGGTGCCCTCTCCTCCACTTTTTGTCATGGACGCAATGAGGGAAGGTCTCAAATAGTAGCCTTTATGGGCTTTTTTGTAAGTAGATGATGCAGTTTGATTACAAAAGTAGAAATTAAGGGAGCTGTTTCAAGACGGGTGACTCATCTAAAGCAGTACGGTTTGAAGCTCAAGACTAAAGGGAGAGAATAGATGGAAACGAGAAGCCAAACTCTAGTAATCCATACACCTATATTGAGTCAATCGAGATTTTTCAAATATCTGGGCAGCTCAATCTCTTCGGATTGAAATGGATCTTTAGAAGAGATTTATCTGGGGTGGTAGTAATGTCCCGGAATTTGTCACAACAAGAACGAGCCACACTCGTGACAGCTCCGAGCATGGCATAAGTTAGTCGCGAACTTGGTATGAGGTTTTCAGTAGATTTGGGAATTGACGCAGAACATGCACCCAGACGTTACCGAACTTTTGTTGAACGGGCGTCAACGGCGCTCATAACCACTGCACTATCAGTAGAACAAATGTTACTCCATAAACATTGAAGACATTACCTGATAATTCTGCAAAAGGAGAGCACTTCACGCCGCATGTTAAAACATGTATAGAGATATTTGAAAAAAAAACTAGTTAATATCTCCCTTTATAATAGCTTGGTTTTTTCGAACACATTCATTCCTTCAACTGAAGCGCATTCAAGGTTTCAACTCCTTATTTTTAACCTCATTATTGCTCTCTATCAATCCTTTCACATTCCCGTTTGTTACTTTTATGAGTTATCCACCTCCTCTAAAGAAAATTTTGCACTTTATTTTTAAATTTAGATTTTTCGTTTTTCTGAATTTAAATTTAGAAATTTAAATTCAGAAAAACGTCGCTATATCGTTTCTAGAAGTTACTGTAGGCAAAAAATGGGATGGCTCAAGAAAAAGAGCGACCTTCCTCTTCATAGATATCATTCATCAGTAAACGTTTTGATGTTTAGTTCTTTAGCTGGAAACTATAAGAAACTATCAAAGCGCATACTATGTTGTCTTGGTCCATTTGATCTACCGAAGCCTGAATCCGTCAATGAATCAATGCGTTTGCACACACATGAAAATGTGAAGAATTAAGCAAGAAAAACAACTTAGACCTGAAAAAAACAGTTAATTGCTACATATCACTCACTTAAGATAAACTTGAACACCTATAAATTTAGAAAAAAAAGCAAAAGAGACATTCTCCTAACTCAGTTCTAAATTTTGGAGTTATTTTTTTCATAAAACAAAACGATAGTTGCTGTTCGAGGCGGATACAAATATGATCACTTAAAAATCTAGAATTAGACAAAAAATGCGTTGAGCTAAAGCAAAAAGGGTTGAAACCTTAAAAATGGCAAAGGGTATCCACTCTCTCAGCTGATAAAATACGCGTCATTAATGTGTAGTCTGCAATGTAACTGCCCGTATAGAATGTTACGAACATGGTGTGCTCGAGCTCATGATCTCGCAACATGTTTGATTCTCTGCAATCCGCGCACTAGTTCATCACGCGCCTGTCGCGATGTTATAACATCGTGAACCTCGTAACATACTCGCATCCTCCTAACAACGCGCCGATGTTACGAAGTGTTCGCACCGCGTTTTGCTCGCGTGTTGGGAGATACGGGACCGTGCGAGATAGCTGGTTTTGGCGCGAGTCACGCTCGTCACATAATGCGAGCTTGATGTTGCAACATACAGAGGGTTTACTACCACCCCTGATAAACGAATGCTGGTGCAACTCAATTCCCAAATGCGCAGTGCTGTAAGTAGTCTAAAGCACGTGAGTAGTGAATGTTGGCCAAGTGCGCGAATAAGAGACAAGATCAGTGGTGTAGGTTCAAGCCGAGATTAAAATTGCTCCCATCGCAAAAGAAATACGGGAAAGATGACTGCTATCTATGGGTATGCGAAAAAAGTAGTACTTGAAACACAATTTCGAGTAATCATAGAGTTGCAAACCAATCAGTGCGGATTTGTAAAGGGTGCCGGTAGTGCTGACGCCATCCATACAGTACGGATAGTGACGGAGAATTTAGAGAAAAACGAAAAGAGCTGCATGCGGCTTTCCTAGATATGGAGAAAGCTTTCGACGAGGTACT